TAAAAAAATGTCAAGCTAGAATATTCATTCTTTAATTATTTTATTGCCGATGTTACGCACTTAAGTTTATTATATTAGCTAATTGCAGCTTATACAAGTAGTATACCAAAGAAAATATTGAAAAACTTACCTAGTTTTCGGCCAATCACCTGCACTATGTATAAGCCACAATAGGAGAGAAAGAAGAAAACAAGGAGAAAAAGAAGAAGATGAAGAAGCAGAATAAATTATGAATTGATTAAGAAGAAATAATTATGGCGAGCTCAGCTCAGGTGAATGCGAATGCTCATGTGCCTTGTTCCTAGTGCGGCGCTGGGTGCGTGATTGTCTTCCCTGTTGACGCAACAAGACGGCACGACACACGAAATCCCCAATTAACTCATTTCATCCACCTTATGTTCGGTTTAAAAGCGTTGACCTGAACGCCGTTGGCCAACTCCCACCATGTCGAGGTGCTCGCTACAACCTCACTTGTATGGACCGATATACCCCCTGGCCTAAAGCAAATACTCTCGCCGACATGACTACCATGGCTTCAGCGTTGGTCACCGGATGGATCTCATGCTTTGGATGCCCCAGCGTTGTTTCTACAGATCGCAGCCGACAGTTTGGATGCAAGCTCTTCCACGACCAGAAATGCCTGCGCATAGTTCACCATACTTATACTACCTCGTACCAACCATCGGTAAATGAAATGGTTGAATGCCTTCATGATGAACTTAGAGCCGCCTTGATGGCTCGCCCGGCTCCTTCGTCTTGAGCTGAAGAGCTCCCTCTCATCCTGCTGCGTAGTTGGTCAATGGTACAACATTGCGTATGCCTGGTGAATTAGCGACTAAATTCACGCCCGATCCAGACGACTGCGTTTAACAGCTTTGTTTTGTCTTCTCACGCCTTCGTCTTTGGCCTGTCCTAATGAATCACCGAGAGACGTTTTTGTCAGCAAGGACATGGCCACAGGGCACTACGTTTCCGTCCGACGTGAAAGTATTGAAGTTGCTCGACGGGCCATTCAAGGTGCTCAGCCGGACAGAAAAAAACTGTCTCCGGGTGGCGCGAAGTTTCCCCTACGTCTCCTCTAAGAAGGCTTAAAAACATTCCTGAAGTGGAATCTTCCGCAATGCTTTTCCAGCAGTAGTCAAGTCAGCTTTTGCCTTCCTAAAATCTCAGAAACATGCTGTTTTCTGGCGGTGCGAACTTGGAGATCAAGGGGGCGTGATTTATTGGTTTAAATGCTGCGTTAGTTATAAAGTAAAACATAGTTGTTTGCAAAAAAATGATCCGCAGAGACTAGTATTGGTGGCTTAATCTCCAACAAAATTTGCCTTGAATTTGGAGCTCACTAAAGAAAACTAGTAACACAAGGACGCACTTTGAGCACTATCTGACTATAAAAGGTTGCCACGTTAAACTCGTTGGGCATGCGAGCAAAACGCTACTTCTCAATCGCCGAACATCAACCTGAGCTCATCGTGCCTCTATTAAGATGCCTGCCGCCGCCACCATCTTATTGTCGGCATGACTTCACTTGAGGGCAAGCATTTCCACTCTTGCATTTTTTATATCCCCCTTGGCCTTCTCTGAACCAAAATAAAGTTTTGATCACTATCACCATAAAACTGAGTGGACGTCAGGAACTCGGGGCAATTGACAGAGCCAAACCCGTCTAATTTGCGACAGCATTATGTGCTTTACAGCTGCTATCACCAATGAAACGCAGCATTCGCCCGAACGCATGGCATCAAAGACTGTTTCTTGTGCTCTATTGCATCACTTCTTTTCTTATTAAAGGGAGAGAGCCCGCTAAAGGCCATCGCCGTCTTCATCGGCTGCTTATTATTTATGGCGAGCTCAAGTGCATGTGCACGCCCATGTGCTTTGTTGTTCAAGCAGCGCGCTCCACAATCACAAGAAGAAAATAAAGCCTTCCTCAGCTGCTGCCATCGGCCTGAAGGGTTTCCTCATTTTTCGCTCGCTGCCAAACACATCAGCATAGAGGACTCAAACATGGTTCCTATAGCTGGGTACCTTTCATGTGCTGTACTGTGATGGCAGAAAAAGAAGTTGTCTGGAAGGCGCTTGCTCTTCATGGTCATCAGGATCGGCGTAATTGTCATGACGTAGAGTAGGTAACTTGCATGTGCTGCGCTGTGAACGAAGAAACAGGTTGTGTGGTCTAGAGCACGCTTCTACATCATAATCATCAGTATTATTATCATCGAGGGACGACGGCGGACATGGCTCAACCATAACGAGCTTCGCCATGAAGAAGCGCTCATCACAATTTGCCCAATAAACAATACAAGTACATTGTATAGCTCTAGTGGGCAGAACATGTATGAGCGTGCCTTTGTTGGCTTTATTGAAACATAAAAATGATTCAATAATTAACCATCTATACGCCTTTGCTCTGTTGCGCTTTGATGATGTCGTTTGATATTGTCAATATAATTTGGCGTTTTCGTATGCAATTTGAATGCAATATTTGGTATGCTATATTTGATGCAATTTCCCAATAAGTTCATGTGAAAGTTCTCTGTCCTCCTTTGTTGATCGGCTCGGCTTTTTATTTTTCACCATTATGTGCTATACCAGAGAATGTATGGAAAGGAAAGCATTACAGGACATATATTTGTGTTGTCTAGCTGTGATGTCATATTCCTTACTTAAAATTGCGATCAGTGAAAGTTGAGGACACAATCATTTTTTCTGTCAATGAGATTTGATGCTAAAACCTTTAAATTGCACGTCTGATGTGCTAACACTTGAAACACAAAGGTGTGCGCTCCCCCTTCCACATTTTTTGGTGTATTTATGGGTGGAGAGAGTGTCACCTGGAAGAGTTATTCTGCCCCCCTCGGAACCCAGGTGGTGAGCGTGGAACACTTTTTTTTTGGCAGAGGGCGTCACAGGGCACGTTATATATACATGAGGTGGTGACAGACCAATCATGCCGCGCAGGCAACTTAATGTGTGGATGCTGCCGGGGTGAAGCCCTCGCATATTCGATGCCTTATGTTGTGTATGCATCTGCGCTGCGTATGTATCGGATTCGAAGTCGACAAGAGTATTACATCTGTACAACATGGGTTTTATGTGTCAGGCTAGTAACCCATTCATGATATGATAATGTTTAAGTAATTGTGAACTTGTCGATTCCACAACCGCTGCTAGTAAGTCCTCTCCGTTCCTAATACCATGTCTTCAGTCCATTACACGGACACATATTTTTTGTTTGGAATGGGGTCGCATGGCCTGTGCGACCACGAATGGGTTTTGTGCCCGGAGAAATTCTCGGAACAAGTTCGTGAAAAAAATTATGCATTGTATTTACATCATTCTTTTTTCACTGAGGAGGCACCAGTGCTGCTCTTTAGTGTGCCAAATAAACTGCATGGTTGGGGGCCACCATAATTCCACATCTCTACTAGTTGAATAAAAGTCAGCCAAACTTGCTGCACTAGACAGTACCTAATGAAGACCACGCCTGTACCTCCAAAGGTAAAAAAATAAACAGTGAAAGATGTAGGGCTTCTAGGTTAGTGACTGACACATCATATGACCCTTTTTGGTGAACTTATGGCTCGTTGACAACTCATGTGCCATCTAGGCGGTGTAAGGCCAGCCTCACGAGAAGATCAGCAGGATGTTGGACATGTGACACTGTAGGTACTTGGAGCTTTCTTGTTTCTCCCTCTACACAAATCAGGAAGGTCACTCTCAGGCGTTGAAGAGCGTAGACGACTACTTGTACCGATTGTCAGGGAAGGAAAGGTAATAAAGGAACACAACAGCATGTTGAGGCAACAGTTGCATGAACAGGTGTGGGAAGCTCTTCAGCATGCATGTAGCCTTCCATTTCACAGCGTCGGGTCATTTCAGCACGGTGTCGTTTCATATGACACCGTGCTGTTTGACGGAACAAATTATGCACAAAATAATTATAGCATTTATGTACTTATTAATATTTAAGGCCCCCGTCCCCCCGACGTTTGTAATGCTTTATCATAATAATGAAATAATAAATGGTGGGACTAAACCTATAAAATATTCTTCCTCACCAAAGCAAACATTACTTCGAATAAAGTTTTTGCGAGCAATGTTCCTAAGATCCCAAAACGCGTGTGCCTTTGCGCAGACTTATTTTTATCACTATGGGGTACCACAGATGTTGCAACATAGATGAAAGTGGCATTGTTGCTATGTTTAGGATTATTTCAGTCTATGCGTAACACTAAAAAATATTAGAAAGTAGTGCTTTTTATTTAGTGTGTCGTATGAGTAACTGATGCATTTTATCAGTAACTGTATTTTGTAGTGAAATTCTCCGAAAACGCTACAACTTGTTCAATTTCGCCCGCGCACTAAATTGTGAAAAATATCAAGCCACCATAATGAACAGTTCTGTAGTAAAGGTAAGATACTCGAAAAAAAGCAGGTGTTGACAGATTTATTGATTGATATGTGGGGTTTCACGTCCCAAAACCACCATATGATTATGAGAGATGCCATAGTGGAGGGCTCCGGAAATTTCTACCACCTGGGGTTCCTTAATGTGCCCCCCAGGTGTTGACAGAATGCGTCGTATAAGGTCAATTAAAAGAGTCGATTAAAAGATTGTCGTTTTGTGCCTCCTTTTCCACTATTTTGTCAATTTCAATTTGTGTTCACGCGCTCGAAAAAGTCTTGCACCTCAAGATATTTTAGGAAAATGTTATAGAGATATTGTCTATAAGATTGCATTTGGTCAGATTTTTTTATTGTAAATGAATTTTTTATGAGCGCCATACTTGAGACAATTGGCGTGTAATCAGCCACGAAGCGGTACATCTCAATGATAGGAGATTTGTATCGTTATACAACATTTTACAATTTTTTTTCACTATTTTAATCTGCTTTCAAAACCATACTTGCTCTTGGACAAAGGACGTGCACACAGCACGACTGGTTCTACTATGTGTTGTAGTGCGCGCACACAATTACAAAGGCTTGGCCTATTTCACACAATGCTTTGTGATTTCCGCAGGTGGACGTGCAAGCCCTGTATTCGTTTTGTTGCCTGCTCACAAGCATCCGTTCGAAAACTGGCTTACAATCGTTGCAGAATCCAGCAGACTCGATTTCACGAGTGCATGCTGAGAACAACAGTATAGGAAGAAAATATATCACCGATGAGATTGTTACAATGTGTACCACTAGTTTGTTTTCTCGCCTACGTATCATTTGCACACGGTAAGTGCCCGTAATTATTTTAGAAGTTGCCAAACACAATCATTAGGCTTTTATGTACTCACCGCAAAATTGATTAGGCATATCTCCACTTGAGTTGTACTGCCCACAGCTTCCAGTGTTCTTGCGCGCTGATAAACGTTAGCTTTTGCGACCTTGCTAGTGCATTCTGGCATTCTATACTTTTCTTGCTTACAAAGATTTCGGGGTTATTACTGAAGACTTAAATACCTAATTAGAAATGAAATAAAGGTAATAATATATAGAATAAATGTGGGAACCATACACAACAAAGAGGAACGTACTAATGATGTATTCTTGTGTTGCTCCATTATTCATGTTAAACACTTGTCCAATGAAAACACACCTCGAACTATTCGTCGCCAGATATATGCTCGCTAACGAGGAAAAAATATTAGTTCATCAGTACAATGAGTGTGTGCAACTGTTATTTGGGGCATGATCAACCACCCTACTATCTTTTTTGCTGTTACTTTTCAGTGGTGAATGATATTACTATATAAATTTGAATTCAGTCAGAGTTGTCAGGCTTACAAATGGTGTCCGAATCAGGGCAAGATAAATTTAATATCCATCCTGTAAAGATGACCGTGTTTCCCATGCAGTTATAATTTTCAAAAACTTTGTGTACTTTCCTTGGTTGTACAAAATTCATAGCGTATTTTTCATAAGTATGCGAGTGCTTTAGCTACTCTTAAAGATATACTGAAACGTCCTATTTCACTTTAAAAAAAGAAGGTATTCTCCATCTTTTATTTATGACATGCTGCAGATCACAATTTGGTGCTTGCAGAAACCGCGCTCATAGTACATACAAAGAAGGGAATGCAATACCAAAGTGTGGATGCGTTTAGTATAAACAATATACTTAATTTTCCACATAACGCTGAAAGGGCACTAATACGTGTGCAAGCAAAGCAATATAATATCAGGATATGAACGCACTTGGTACGAATATTATGCAAAAGGTTCACCCACAACACAGAACATGGGTAATGTGTTGGTTTAGGAAGGTTCACTCACTACACCCCTGGAACAAGATATATCTGTGGGTATCTGACTTGGCGGATCGAGGAATTATTGTATGTACACGATCATCCCGGGCACGATTTGCGGACAAGGGTAAATGAATAATTCACTATTATTTGATGATTCTAGAGAGTTGAGGCGAAGAATCTGCCTACGTGTTTCTAGCAAATGAATGTAAGTTTTGTAGCATTGTATTTCCGTAACGCTGTAGCAATCAGCACTGTCGTAGCGTCTCATTACCGCTTCATTTTGTACACAATTTTTCGGTATAAGTTTAGTTTTTGGTGTTACTGTTTTGCTTTATGTATTGTGTGCCTGCTCCTAACTCCGGGGGACAGAGACCACCTTCAGGCAATTAAAGCTTTTAGCCTCTTTCTCCTCTGAGCACACCTGAAATAAAGCTGAATTGAATTGAATTGAATAATTAGCTCTTCAGGAGAATCGGTGCCCTTATACCTAGAGTGGATAAAGCGGACATGTTTTCGCTGCATTCTTTCCGTTATATCTACTGTTCTATAGCGTGCGGGTCCCACGTAATACAAGCATACTTCGATTTTGGTTTAATGAAAATCATAGAACTCAGTAATTTATAGCTGGCATAGACTTCACTAATGGTTACGACATCATTACCACCACATAAATATTTATCTGCGTAAGACCTTTACTAATAATGGTTTATTTAAATAGGGCGAGGAAGAGGAGGATGCTCACTCAAACCAAAACATGGAAATTGCACGCCAAAGCACAGGAGCTGGTATTACGACAAGGATGCGAATGAATGCAAGGTTATGTTGATTGGTGTATGCCCAAGGAGACTCAACAATTATTCGTCTTGTCAAGAGTGCTGGAAGCGATGTGATCCCAATAATAGTAAGGCGATAGTTGCGTTAAGGAACTAGCAATGTAGCTCACGGACTATAATGTGCGCAGGCAACTCAGTAAAAATATATGAACAACTTTTTATATATGTACTGCATGCATTCTGTCTCTGATTTTTAGGGTAACCCGTAAAAAGACGTCACACTTGATAAGAAAGTTATTTGAATGTTTCCTCAAACGCCAATGCTCTTCAGCTAGCAGTATATTTAGGAGCATAAATGCAGCAGCTGAACTATAAAAGACAAACTGAAGCAGACTATAAGGCATATAGACGCTGACCCATGCCGAAACAACATGAAGTGCACAACTGAACAGTAATACGGTACAGGATTGCAGGATAACATCACTAAAAAATAACAAACGAAGATAAACTTCACAACTCAAACGGCTGTGATAGATCGACGACTAACGCGATCTACCACTGAAATCAAGGTTCTTTCAATAATTCCCACCCATGGCACCGTATCCTTATAGCGATAGGTAGATGATGTTCGATTATCGTGTTAGAACCCCCTGAAAAATGTTCAATATTCATATTATTATTATGTAAAGAATAACCAAGTAGCTCTGATGCAAAGTGCTGTGCTCCATGTTTTCTTTCTACCTCTGGGCACTGTATAAGAAGGTTTTGGAAAGAGTTCTTAGTCTGCATGTCCGAATATCAGGAAATGACCAGATGCTTTGATCAATGTACACCTAAATGTCGACTATAAATGCAACCTAGGCTTTACCGTTATGAAGTCCGAGCTGTTTAGACATAATCATTATTGCCTCTGTGGCGCTGAAATTTTGCGCAATCCTGCCGCAAGATTTTATACACAATTGAATAGGCTTCATTGCGATTCAGACGAAGACTATAAGAGACACACAGGACACAGACGAGAGCTGTGTTCTGTGTGTGTGCGTCTCCTATGGTCTTCGTCTAAATCGCACTGAAGCCTGTCCAATAATGTACCAACTCGTCCGAGTCAAAGTACTTTATACATGTTGTAGTTCTTACTCATGTATTCACTAGCAAGAATCCACAGATTACAAAGATATAATGGTCGGCTGATTAAAACAGAAGGTGCAGTAAAGACAATGGATGAAAAGGCAGACACGCGCACACACATGGGGCACAGTTTACTATCCATAAAAACGGGCAATATTTAGGCAAACAGTGTTGCGAAGTTTCATTGCTGCACGGTCGCAATGAAATATCACAACTCTTTCTTTGCTCAAGTATACCAAGGTCATACTAATGCAATTGTTACCAGCTTCAATAATAATTTGTGCCGCAATGATTCATTTCTTTCAGGTGTCTCGACTTTTGGCAATCACGATGCATGCGCAAAAAAAAAAAAAAAGATTCGCTACACAATCGCAATCTCTTCAATATACAGCGACGTGTTCCTCTCCGTGAATTGGAACATTGTCGCAATGCTGTCAGAGTTTGTCCTTTAGGCACTGTTCTGTTTGACGTACGTATCCTTGCCACACGATGAAAATATTAGAGAGTTTTAGTACTGCGTACGCTGCGTACGTGGTGGCGTTGCGTACGTAAGGACGCCACGTTCTGCGTAGTGCGCATGCGCAGACCGCAACGCGCACGTATCGCGTTACGTACGCAGCTGCTACGTACGCACGCATGAGATGCGTGCGTGCGTACGTAGGAGCTGATCGCGCCGCTCTTGAACAAGTTCGCGACAGCGCGAGACTTCGTTTTGCAAAATGGCGGCATCGAAAGCAAGCACCCACCGGCTCTGTGGCTTAAAATATGGCCATAATCTGGCTATAACACTTAAATTGGCTGGCTCACAGTGGCTGTCAACAACACGTGCTTCTATTTTGATCTACCAGATGACGCAACACGCTTCACGCTCGTTACGTATGCGGGTACTACGGCGTACTAAAAGCCGACTAGTGGCAAACGACGCCACGTAACGCAAGGCGCTTGCGTGATGCGTACGTAGCACCATTCCGCACTACTAAAACTCTCTATTATTGACCACACCGGTATTTCTAGGTAGCTCTTAGGCCTCATTACCAACATCAAGTTTCACATTTATTATCATGTTTTTCGGCGCTTGGTGGTGCTTTACAGAGGCAAGGATTGTTTATTTCCATGGAATCGGCACTTTCAACGGTGCAGAGATCCCCTTTACCTTTCATCACTTAGCAATCTTTGGACGCTATGGGAGACGCGAACACACAATATCAGAGCTACGTTTTCTTTTAAACGATGTGGCTTTTAGTCTGGTTGGTGGAAGGAAGGAAAATAGCCTCGTTCACTATTTTTACAAGAATCTTCAGCTAGCGAAACCAGTGCAACTTGCGGGAAGCCTGCTTCCTCTAGGTGGCTTATCTGCTTGCTGAAACTCTGACCTGCGTGATGCGAACAGATTTTATTTTTTTAAAGAAAAGGATGTGCATGAAACCCGATTAACCTATTGCAATTCACCTAAATTTAATTAAGCTCAGTAATCAGCTCAAGTGTTTCCTCATATTGTACTCCCTCCCTGTTATGACCCTCAAGCGAGGGTTGACAGTATTAACAAATAAATAAATAAATAAATAAATAAATATTTTATAACAGTATTTTGGGGCAACACATTTTGTACAAGTAGCCATGAACTTAGTTTTGTAACTAATGTCAATATTTCTGGCTGCATGATAAATTTTGCCAGCGAGTAGACACAAAGTCGGGACCTTAAGTTGTCTCAGTTTGTGGATGTTGCATACAGCCAGGGTCAAAATAACTTTTGGTGTTTTACATGGCTTCATCACACGCACGTTTTGTTTATTGCTAGGAAATAAAGCCGAAAACACTTCATGTGTGGAGTACATGTTATTAAAGTTTTGTCTTTATCAGAACAATGAGTCTCAAATCTCAAATGAACTTTTGCACGATAGCTCTGCACTCAGACGTAAATTTCTGCTCAAAGCACTGCGCCACTGCCACTCGGTATCGAGGCCGTCATTATCATTAGGTAATCTTCCAAATCTACGATTTACTTTCGAACGAAAATGGCTACAGCAAAAAGTAATTCGTAATGTTTCACACCTACTGAAGAAGCAAGTAACGCAAAGTATGTCAAAGAAATTGTCACGCAAAACATTTATGGCGTGCCATACGTTCATGCTTGGACTTAGTGCGTTAAACGACCGTTCTGAGGTGTTTAAAGTAATGTTATGCCGTGAAACAATTTCTAGCGCCATACAATTAGCTGCTACAAAGCAAGCTGGTGTAAATTGCGACTGAAACTTGTGTAATGGTGAAGTTCGACGAAAGTATTTGGAAAAAAATCTTGAAAATTGAGGGGCTGTAAGCAGCCGCCCAATATTTACTAATATTGTTCCAACAACTCCATACCACTCGGATGCCTTCTAGTCTGTTTTAACCTGATATAAATTGCGTGTTATCGCTAATATTTTGCGCTAATAACGCATTCACGTGGCGCCAATAATATGTAGCGATTATTTTATGCTTTTCTCTCAGATATTTTACCATGTGCTCACCTTCTGTCTGCTTGAGGGGGTCAAGTCGTAGCACCAACGGTTTCGTGCAACTTTAGCAAGGAATAGAAGATAAAAGATATCGCAATGTATGCGTTTTCTTATGTACTTATAGTACTTTACAGCCAATAATAACTTTTATTTATAACGTAAGAGTAAACAAATATAAAAATGTCGGCAGCTTGCTCTACTGACGCAAGGCTAGAACCCACAGTGGAGCTTCTGTTCGATCAGCACCTCCACTTAGCTCATTCCGAGTTTTTCTTGGGAAATGCCAAGCTTTTGCAAGAGGCTAAGTTTTTGCTTGAAGTACTAAGCATGGTTCAGATAGGTTATTCTCCAGTTCTTTTTTGTTCCCTGCACTACGCATGTGCTACGAGCTTTATATGGAAAACATGTTACCTGACTACATGATACATGATTTGGGAGGCAAGATGTGTCTCTGACTAGGTGTTGCGGGATGTTGATTTTGATGACTTAACTAGATATTACGCTATTTTTGGCCGCAACACGTCACCTGTGTAGTTTTCGAGTTGTGGTACTATTATCGGTGGCGTGAATAGTTGTTACGTGTTTAGTCACGTGACAAGTTACGCGACGTTACGGCATCTCAGTGACGTCATTAGTTGTTACGTTATCTTTAGAGACATGAGTAGTGGAAACGTGAGATTACATTATTTTAGTTTCGTCCCTGGATGTTACGTGATTTTAGTCACATGACTAGCTCTTACGCCAATTTAGTCAGGTGACATGCTGGGCCGTTTTTTTGTCACATGATCAGATGTGATGAGTTTCCTTGTAACGTGACTAGTTGTCAGATAATATAATGTTACTTTGTCACTTGATTGCGAGATATGAGATTTCACGAGTTTTTGTCCACGTGGCCAGATGTTACGTGATGTCGCGTGGTTTCATTGCCACGTTACTTGCTGTTATGTGAATTCTTACTTGTTGTTAGTAAAAATTTAGTCATGTAACCAATTGTTACGTGACGTTTCTTGATTTTAGTCTCGTTTGTAGTATATATATGTTGTTATATGATTTTAGTCCCGTCACTAGTTGTTTCACGATGTTTTGTGATTTTCTGCTGACTTGACAAGTTAGTTCGTGTTATGTGAGTTTTAGTCGCATGTCAATTTTTTACGAGGCGTTACGCGATTTTAGTCCCATCGTGGTATTTACGTAGTGTAGTGTAAAAATTCGCCTCGTACCGACTCGCCCCATCAGGGTTATTGCATTGTGGGAGCACAGCGGAAGGTGAAAAGGTAAACAAAGGCAATGTATGACAGCCCATGAGAATAACTTATGTTCGCAAAACCAGGCGCTGCCAATACTTTAAAGGCATTACCGAATGCTATCAAATGTTGTTTCTTGTAGTACAATTCAACCCTATAATAACGTTTCCCTCTCAGTTGTCTTAAAGTAATAAAATTTTCAAAACTAACTTGTTACCATGGTGCATATCACTGACTTGAGTATGCGGCAGTGTTAAATAAAATTGA